ATATTTCAAAATTATGTATTTAAATAAATTTTAATTAAAATAAATAAACTACATTAATATATTTTTAAAAAAAGAGTGAAGTTATATTAAAATTTTTTTTATAATACTTTATTAAATTTTAAATTGGAATATCAAAATTAATTATTGAATTAATAAAATATAAATTATATAAAGCATTATAACTAATATAAATTTTTTTATACTCAAATAAAATTATTTATTTTAAAAATTAATTATAAATAAAAAAAAGTTTTTTACCTAAATCTTAAATTTTTTTAATATAAACTAATTCTTGTAATTCAAACATCGAAAATAAATTTGTATTAATTAAAAATTAATGTATTTTATTAAATATTTTAAAAGGCTGGAAGGCGGCTCCAACCCCAGCCCCTCTACCCCCGGCCAATCCCATGGTAGGTGGCAGCTCCGTCGCTGGATGGCGGAGGTGAAAAGGCAGAAAAGCAGGAAAAAGAACTCTACAGGGTAAGGTAAACTACACAAAATGATAACTGACCTTTATCATAATTTTTGGTTAGGTCATATTTTTATTTTTATATGCTCCATTAATCATCCTCCACTATCTTCACAAATGCCATTAAGTAAGATGATAACATGACATGGAGTAAGAAAAGATTAATGACTTTGCCCTTACATGGAAAACAAATAAAAATTTGCGTTAAACAAGTAATAGGCAAAAAATGCCTAGAAGACTTAAGAAATGTCTAAAGGTTAATATTTTAAGTTAAAAATTTTAAATTTAAACTTTAAAATAGGTGTTGAGAAATTAATAATACATTTAATTTGAGATAGGAAAATAGGAGGGAAGAGAAGAAAAGAGGTGAAAATTTATCTATTTAATTAACAAAAATTTTAAAATAGAAAGGAATTTTATCTAAATGAGATGAAAAAGAGAGGAAAACAAAAAGATGTCACCTCCTCTCCCCATCACTTTTTTTATTAAGGTAAGTAAAGGAATTAAAAATATATAGGTTAAATACCCTTTTTGGTCCCTCTACTATAGGAAAAGCCCCTTTTTAGTCCCTATACCGAAAAAATCCCCTTTTTGATCCTTACTGTT